CGTGAAGGTTGATCTCTCACATGTAGGACTGTAAATGAAAAAAATTGAACTGAAGAAGTTGACACTGTAGAAATGTTTGTCTCTTGGTGCTATATTTACGTCTCTGCCTTTAGCCTAGCAACCTAGCGTCTATGTTTACAAGATAAAATGTAAAGTGAGTGGTACAAGACAGGTGTTCCTAATAAACTGGCAGCTTAGAGTCTTCCAATGTGTCTCACTGTATATTATTTCATTAGTAACACGACTACGAAACAAGTGCCTTAGGACGCAACTGAGACGCCTGCAGCAGCGCGGCTAGGCTAACCATGATAGCTGAAGTTAGAAAAGCCGCATCATCACTGAGCAGTGACCCTCCTCTTACCTTTGGGGTCAGTTTGACTCACCAGCTGTGTTTACATGCCAATCCCATTGAATACATTCTGATTACAGATTCAGACTGAAGTGTTTATTCTCACTCTACTCAACAGTCTGATGGAGAATCTCTGTTTACATGCTCACTACAAGTAATCAGATCCAAAATGATGCGCATGAGTAGAGAACCACTTAGAGTAAACATTACCATGACAACCAGCATCACGTGAGTCCAGTCAGAGTGAGATGAGCAGCAGTGAGCAGTGCTTGTGTTTTTAATTCCTTTAAAATGATGTCAGACTCAGGAAAACGTCCTTCACATGTCCTTATTAAAGAAGGCCGAGAGGAAGACGTCGTGTTCTGAGACACATAAGCTGGACGTCCGTTTATTTTTGGCTGTAGCAGTGCAGTTTAAGAAGAATGCTCCATGTACAGCAGGTCTCCTCATATTCAGACACCGTGCGCTGCATGCGGAGCAGACGCCGCTGCGTTTGGGTTTATCACGAAGAAAGAACAGGGAGAAGCGGAGCTGAAAGAGACATGGATTCCAGAGGAGTGATGTGAAAGGAATTGAAGGTTTTCCTCAAAGTGTTATTCACAAACTCAGAAATTCATCTTCATACAGAGCGCCGGGCTCCCAGCGCCGGCCTGCACTCGCTCTCTAACGAAACCTCGGCCTGGATATATTGAATATGAGCAGCTGTGGAGCTCAGAACATCTGGGTTATACAGAGTTCAGTAAAGCAGGTGTTGTGCTCTCTTTATCATAACTAATAAAATCGTCTGAGGGCTCCTAAACAGGTTCTTGGCTTAGAAGTATGGTTCTTGGAAAAGCTCAGCTCCATTGTGGTTGTGTTCACCTGTTTCAGACATCCAGTCCAGGAATGTGCGGTTTGGGCAGCCGGAGCTTCACTTCAAGGAATACTTGGAATTACTTAGAATAAATGAATTCTCCTTCAACTTGCATTAAAAGTTAAAAATGTTTTTTGCTTCTCTTTTAAAGTTATTTTTTTGGTTCAGACACTGATGTGGGGCCGCCGAGTGCTGAAGCACACAGTGTCTATCCTCTGTTGAATCACTAAAGAGTTCTGGACACTGGAAGCAACATCACAGCAAAAGAACTGCACATCAGGAGCTTCAAGAAATGGGCTTCCATGGCTGAGCAGCTGCACACAAACATAAGATCACTAGTGTGTGTGAAGCTGTAGAAAAGAAAATGGTTTAGATGATAAATGGAGCCGTAAGTGATTTCATGATTGTGATAAATCTGTACAGCCTTGAAAAGGATCTCCCACAATGCCTCATATTTGAAAAACAATAACCAAATCTCACTGATGAAACAGCTGTGCATAGTGACAGCAAATTCCAATGAACAGAAATTCATAGCTCAATATTTTCAATATTACTTCCATATTTTTTTTAGCATTCTAACTTCATGTTGTTCCCAAAACACAGGATGATTCAAAAAGATTCATCTGATTTCAAAGCACCATATTTGCACAACCGTGAGGCACCAAGGAACCAATCACAATCCAATTGAAAGAGGGGGTCATAGAGTGTCTGACTGTCAGTGGAAGATGGGCTCCCTTCAGTCTGAGAGGAGATGAGACCCCTGAGCAGAAAGAGTTCTGTGTTCTCCACTTCAATAAGAGTGAATCCGTCATAACTGTGCAGTGTGATTTTCGTGGTCAGTGAAGCTCCAACAGCTCAGAGCATTCGGCGTTGGTTCCACAACACTGGATGATCTCCGAAATCGCACTGAAAGAGCCGTGAGTGCAGCGACACCCGACACGCTCAATCCAGTATGGGATGAGTTTGACTATGGTGTTGATGATGTCGATACAGCTGGAGGAGGTTCAGACTGAGACCTTGTACAATTACATAATAAACTTTATGCTCATTAAACCATTTACAGTTCACTGCATTGATCTGTAATGATTTACAAGTGAAATCAATCATTTTGAAATCAGATCAATCTTTTTGAATCACCCTGTACTGTAAACTGGGAATAAAGTGTAGGTTTAAGTTTTGGTGTGTAATGTACAGCATTGTTACCCAAATATTAAATTTAGCTCCTCAGCCATAATAGCTGGAAACCAAGGACACTTCTGCTAACGCTTAATGGACTATCATCAGTAACGACCCTGACTGATGTTCTTGCTGTATAAACTCCTGAAAACATGTCTGGATTCCAAATAATCCCAGAATAATCCCTACTCTGAAGCTGTGTTAGTCAGTCAGCACCATGCAGTCCTTAATTCTGTGTCTGTGTAAAACCATCAGAGGCCCCAGTGGCGTCTCCTGCATTATAGATGGATTCGGATAATTCGGATGCGTTTCTGCTGAAGCCCCGAGCAGCACATCCACTTTCATTAAAGCCTGTCGCTTTCTGTTCTCCTGCTTCCCCACGACAGAATCCATCATCTCACACGACACTCCTCTCCTCCTCCCCCTATTTACTCCTTCATTCACTCCCAGTCAAGTGGAATCATAATAAACAGGCAATAAACATAAACATAAATACATAAAACAGCGAGAAACGTCAAAGCAGTAAAAACAAGCTGGAATTTCTCATCTTGAATGAAGCCCTTTCTATCTCCACTGAGAGTCTGAAGGACTCAGGTTTGGTTCCAGATTTGTCCTCCAGCATCACACAGATTATTAAACTCCATCAGCGGCTCCTGATTTAACGTAATGAAGTATTGATCAGATAAAGCAGGCTGACTGGATGATATCTACACTCTCAAAAAACACGGTTCTTCAAAGGTTCTTTAGTAAAGACAAAGGTTATGTTTAAAACCATGAACACTCAATATACCACTTGCATGCTTACGTGGTTCACTGCATGGTGAAATGGTTCTTTAGTTTGATGTTTGATGATCATAACAATAGCAGAACCCTTTATGGTGAAATAGCCATGACTACAACACAAATATAGCCATTTTATTTACTATCCAGAACCACCAGTGAACCTACACGAGTCTTCTGAGTTTATATGGAATGTTGATGATGGAAAATAGTGGAAAATCTGAAATAATAAGTTTTCTTTGGGGACTATTTTGCCTCACAGCGCCCTGCATGTATCCCTCCACCATGAATGGAGTTTAAGTTCTCTAAACTATCATAAAACAGTGTCTCAGTCATCAGGCAGTGAATTCATAACCATTTACTGTAGGAACTTTCTGTGAGGGAGCTTTTAGAGGTGGACGTCTGGTTCCTATCACCACCACTGTGAACAGTTCTGACTCGGTAAGTTTCTCTAGAACAGAGCGTTTCACACCAAACCACTCTGAACCGCTCTGTTTACATCTTAACTGGTTAATAATATGGGATAACAAGTGAAATTCTTATTTAAATTATTCATAAACCTGGTTTTAATAATGTGCTTCAGTGAATGTTCTTGGGCACTGTTTGTTTATGTTTTAGTGCAGTTTACCTTCTATCAAGGTTACTGCAGCTCTATCAGACGCTCCCCTTTAACTCTGTAAACTCTGCTGCGTCTCTGACTGATAGCTTTACAGTTAAAGGCGAAGGATCTCAGTGTTGACGGCGACATCACGGCACACAGCACAGAGATACACTAACGACACAACAATATTTATCAGATATAAATTTCAGTTTTCACTATAAGTTTCATCTTTGAATCTATGCTTTATCTTTAAGTCTAGTTTTATCTTTAAGTCTAGTTTATATCCTTGAGTTTAGGTTTTACCTTTAAGTCTGTTTAATATGGAGCCCTGCTGGTGACATCCCATATAAATAAAAATAATGTGTGGCCACAGCTTAGTAAAGTGTGGGAACGAGATAATTAAGCCTTGACCACAGCTTAATAAGGCATGATCTCATTCCCATGCCTTACTAAGTTGTGGCTGTGACAGAATTATCTGGTTCCCATGCCTTGCTAAGTCATGGCCACGCGTTAGGATCCTGTTCCCATACGTTAATACAGTGTGGCCACACATTATTTTTATTTATATGGGATTTCACCAGCAGAGCTCCATAGTTTTACCTTTAAGTCTGGTTTTCATCTTTGAGTTTGGGCTCTGAGCTTCAGCGTGAGGGCAGATCTATTAAAGCCATTGCTTTTTCATGACATCACAAAAACAACGAATTTCAAACTGGCTGCTGTTGTGGTTCAGTTCAGTTTCCATACATAATTAGCTCCCATGTTTTTCTTGATATGAACCTTTTAACGCGTGATGAGGTCATTAACTGTATTAATGCTGTACGTCATTGAGTATTGATATATTTGGGAAAATGTGATATTGAATTGTGTCCATGTTGCCCAGCACTAGCCCTCTCCAGCACGGTCACTCTTCAGGAACGATCCGCTCTGAGGGTGGACGGTGCTCATGTTTGGAGTAACAGCACTTTCTCCAGACTTCAGTACCGCAGCACCTCCTGCATCTCCACACAGCTCAGAGATGAGCTCTGGTCATCGTGAGGGTCTTCTTCCCACACTGTGTCTGCGTTTATTTCAATCCCACGTTCAAGGGCTCAGCTGGGACTCGTCTGATGAATGATAGAGCCCCCCCCCACACCCCAACCCCGCGTGTCAGGGCTCCTTATCTGTGCCTGAGACCACACGGGACACGGGGACGGAATAAAAGTGGCTCTGCCTTTGGAGCAGTGCAGGTTTCATCAAGCAGCCTCAGCGCGTGCTGGAGAGCTGCGAGAGCTCGAGCTCCATCTGCACGCAGAGCTGAGAGCTGCAGCGCGGGCCACACCGTGCGGCAGCGCGAGCGCGAGGCGCATTCAAACCGTGGACAGTCAGGATGGCGTTCGGACGCGTCAGCGGTCACCAGAAACCGGACTGAGGAGGGCTGTACTGGACCGAACGTCGCTTTTCCGTCGGCAAAACAGCGGGCAGAGATCTACAGAGCAGAGGAGCAGGTGGACAGAGGGCAGGTGGAGATGCCCGCTGCGCGTGGATCTTCATGATCAATGGGGGATTATATTGATGAACCTCCTGAGTGGAACCGCTGATGATGATCGATAAGGTAACAATAACCTGTTACAGTGCTTTTTTCTGCTGTAACGAGCTTTGATCGCGCAGATGTTATATGTGATATCAGTGATCAATGAGGTTTTGAGGCGCAGTTCAAACTTAATTACTTAATGCGATTTAATGACTTTGCAGAACAAAAATAATGGATTAAAAATGTAAACAATATCTTAAAATAGAAGTTTGGAAAGTTTTGGGTCAATATGTAATATTATTGTAGCATAATGTGTCTTAATAACTAGTCTAATTATTCCATTTATAATAGTGGGATGTAAAACGCAAACTTATGCAAATCATATGTAAATCTGTTTGTCTTTGCATATATATGTCATAATTTAACGAGGCTTGTTTTGTTTATTTCTCTAAAATAATAAGAGGCGCAGCAGATGATCCGTTCATTTTTTTCACACCCGTTTTCAGACGCCCTGCGCTGCGATTGGCTGGGAGTTCACGTTCGCGCGCAGTGCGCCAGAAAACAGCCAATCACAGCGCGCAAGGGGCGGGGCTTGACTGAATACGGGTGGGATATGTGACGCTGTGCTGAGTGTAGCGTCAGCTACAGAAACTAATAGGCACATTAATAATGTTAATAATGTTAAAGCTAATTTTAAACGTTTAAAATTGTATATCCTTGATTGTATACATTTATTCAATTCGATTCCACACGTGTATAGTTAAATATCGTGTAATAACATTTTATCACATATTATTTCCAAATATAAATGAATTAAATCCTAATTTTCTTCATTCTAGCATCCAAAATAACCTGATTAGAGCCTCCAAATGTTCCCTGAATGCTACACAATCATCTACCATCTACATTAGTGCATGTAGAGAGGCGGCTTAGCCCCAGTCCAGTGGACAGTGCGGTGAGGACATGTGCAGAACACGGCTGTGCCTGAACCTTTTCACTCCGATCGCCTGGCGAGGGCATTCCGGGCGTTTACTCAACACAGATCAATTAAACCAACACTGAGGCAAACCGCTGGAGAGGCGAGGAGACGGACCGGATAAAGTCCTGCAGGTCCAAAGTATCAAAGTCTCACCACAAAACAGTGATTTTCCACATTTACTGCCTTTCTCTGCTTCTGCTATCAGACGCTTGTTTATTAGGAGGGTCTGAACACAACTGGGAAAGCATTTCTACATATACAATAGGCTTACACTGTTAAAAAAGATGGTTCTTTAAAGGTTCTTTAGTAAACACAGTGGTTCCATATGGAACCATGAACACTCAAAGAACTATGTGCACACTTATATGGTGAAATGGTTCTTCAGATGGATGGAGAATGGGTTATATATGATTCTACTTAGCACCAAAATGGTCCTTCTGCTGCTACAAGCTCGACATCATGACAAAAAGGGTTCTGCTTTTTGGTGCAGGACCATTTTGGTAGAACCATATACGCACATTCTCCATCAATCTGAAGAACCATTTCACCATGCAGAGAACCATTTAATCAGGAAAATGGTTCTTTGAATGTTCATGGTTCAATATGAAATACTATCTTTACTAAAGAACCCTTGAAGAACCATCTTTTTTAAGAGTGTAGTTCTGTAGATACTCTATCACTGTGTTATTAGTCTCCTTCTAGAAAGCTGATCTGAGCTACTGACCGGTCCAAACGTCCAGCCCGGCACTGATTTCTCTTCTGCGCAGTGCTCTGGCTGTTAGAGGCTGTACTGACTCGTCATGGTGCAGGTTTATCCAGCGCTGGTGAGAAAGTCCTTCATGTATTAATGGAGTTATGGAACAGCTGAAGCTGTGGGGAGCAGTGTGTAAACCCCCCCTGGTATTCGGGGGTCCCGTGTTGTCTGGCTGCTCACACATTCGCCATAACGCCGCTGATGCTTCAGTAGCACCAAAATGTCTGTTTTATCAGCTGTTCTTCTGTAGAGTCTCTGTTCTAGTGCGGTTCTGCGCTCTTCCTCACAGTAACTGAGATCTTCCTCGTCTCCTCTTCTGTCTTCAGTGTGAGAAATGAGGAACAGTCACTCTTCACTCCAAACTCTTGGGAAACTGGGCGAGTTTTCAGATTTACAGATCTGCTGCAGCTCACTGTAAAGTTTTTCAGAGGAATCCGGGCAGAGTTACAGTTTCTAGACTATGAAGGACCAACTGGGTGAACCAGTCTGCTACAGCGCCACCCTGAGGCAGAGCAGTGCTGCAGCTCTAGTTAGTTAAGAACACCAGAGACAGAAGCTGATTGTGGGAGAAACAGATAAACAACGAGCTTCACTGAATCTGGATTTTGTCATAGTAACTTTATTTTCAGGGACCCCCAGAATGTCTCAAAATCAGAATTCTGGAGGTCCAAGAGGTTAATTAGGGAATCCTGGACCCCACAGGAACCCCTGCATTTCACAGCCTGGGGTGGAGGACCATGACTAACACATTTCATCGCCAATCCTATCCAGTCAATAAGTTTCCATCTCTACCTTCAGTTTCCTGTGACGTGTTTGTAAACCTCACCACCCCAACCTCTCTCTGCTCATCGGTTCTATCGGTCAGAGCCACACACTTGATGGTTGTCTGTGTTCTTTAGTAAAGGTAGTAGGTCTATATAGAACCATGAACACTCAGAGAACTATTTGCCTGATTACATAGTTTTTGCATGATGCAATGGTTCTTCAGATTGATGGAGAACGTGCTGTATATGGTGTATATATACATATATATATAGAGAGAGAGAGAGAGAGAGAGAGAAAGACAGAGAGAGAGAGAGAGAGAGAGAGAAAGACAGAGAGAGAGAGAGAGAGAGAGAGAGAGAGAGACAGAGAGTGGCGTAGTTCCTCCGGGGTCTCCGGTTTCCTCCCACAGTCCAAACACATTTAGTCAGGCCAATTGGAGATGCTAAATTGCCCCCTTGGATGTGGATAAGTGTGTGTGTGTGTATCTGCCCTGTGATGGACCAGCGGCCTGTACAGCCTCCGGTGCACACTCTGTGATCCAGGAGGAAAAACAGCTTAGATGTTGAATGATGAATGAATGAATCTGCAACGAGTCGCTGAACATAAATTAGCAACAGATTAGCTGGTTTTATAGAAATCAGGCGAAGTGGTGGCTGTGAAGTTTCTGCAATGCATTTCTTTAACACTTTTACACTAAAGAGTGGGCGATGACTGAAGTGGACAATGACTAAAGTGGACGACTGAGTGTATTTTGTTTCTAGTAGCAACAGCCAAAAAGTGGTCCATACTGCTGTGAGCACCGTGCAGAGCTCGTATTATATTTTACAATTAAATTTACTATTAAAAATATTTTAGTTCTAAGTCAAACACACACACACACACACACACACACACACACACACACACGGATTTTCTAAGCCGCTTATCCTTCTGCCTATCCCAGCAGTCATTGGGCAGAAGGCAGGACACACCCTGGACAGGTCGCCAGTCCATCGCAGGGCTAAGTCAGTTACATTTTCATTCATTTTTTGTTATGAAGTGCCATCGGCAGCCCACTACGAACCACTTGCTCAGTACTCAGTATGGCCTGAGGACCACCAGAAGGAGGCTGAGAAACCCTTGTATAAGTCATGATGTATAAGTGGGGAAATGGAGTGTGAGTTTAGAGCAGGTCCGTCTGAAGCGAAGTGCTTCATAACTACAAACATTTAACTGTAAGCTTAAGTAGTTTTCAGTTAAAATCAGTACAGTATCAGTATGTTAAAAGATAAAAGGGAATAAGAGCCATCTTTGTTATTATTTACTAACATCTTCTTTCCTCTCCACATGCACACAGGTCTGATGCGATGGTGTGAACTCCTGTTTTATGAAAGAGCTAATCCGAACTGACATAGAGTCAAAATGGAGTCGTGGACATTACTCCCAGTGCCCCCTAACCTTTCCCTCCCGGAGCCCCTCTTCTACGACAGCTTCTTCCCCGGGAATGAGTCCGACTTTGGCCTGGAGGATTACTCTCACAATGGCACCCACCATACCTTTGACCAGACCAGCTCCGTGGTCATCACCTTCATGTACTTCGTGGTGTGTGCCGTCGGACTCTGCGGGAATGCTCTGGTCATGTATGTGATCCTCCGCTATGCCAAGATGAAGACCGTCACGAACATCTACATCCTAAACCTGTCCGTCGCCGACGTTCTCTGCATGCTCAGCCTGCCGTTCATCGCAATTCAGCTGGCGCTGCTGCACTGGCCCTTCGGTGCCGCAATCTGCCGCATCGTCCTGACCATGGACTCGCTGAACCAGTTCACCAGCATCTTCTTCCTGACTGTGATGAGTATCGACCGGTACCTCGCCGTGGTGCACCCGATCAAGTCCACCAAATGGCGCAAGCCGCGGGTGGCCAAAATGATCAGCCTGGCCATGTGGGGGGTGTCCCTGCTGGTGAACTTGCCCATTATGATCTTCAGCGGCCTGAACACCAACAAGAACGAGGCGCGGACGTGCACTATGCTGTGGCCGGAGCCTAAGAACACCTACTACACCGCCTTCATCTTCTACACCTTCTTCTTGGGCTTCTTCCTGCCGCTGATCGTCATCTGCCTGTGCTACCTGCTCATCGTCATCAAGGTGAAGACCTCGGGCATGCGGGTGTCCTCCAGCAAGCGCAAGCGCTCGGAGCGCAAGGTGACGCGCATGGTGTCCATCGTGGTGGTGGTGTTCGTGCTCTGCTGGCTGCCTTTCTACATGTTCAACGTGGCGGCGGTGACCGGCACACTCATCCCCACGCCGGTGCTGAAGAGCACCTTCGACTTTGTGGTGGTTCTGGGGTACGCTAACAGCTGCGCCAACCCCATTCTCTACGCCTTCCTGTCGGACAACTTCAAGAAGAGTTTCCAGAATGTCCTTTGCCTCAAGAGGGTGGGCGGCCTGGATGAGATTGAGCGCAGCGACAGCCGCCAGGACCGGACGCGGATGGTCAATGATGTCATGACGGAGACTCACAATGCTGCCCTGCTCAACGGTGATCTGCAGACCAGCATCTAGGAATGCTTTGGAACCCTGACCTTCAAACTGATGGTCACAGCTTTGTAGATCACTGTAGATCTGCTGGGATGCCTTGGTAGAGAACAGACAGGTCCAATAAAATGCACGGAAAGAACTTCTTGGAGTTTCTCATGCGTGAGGAACAATAACATGTCGACAGTAATCTCATGGAGAATTGCCTCATTTCATGCCCAAAGTCCATTCGGGTCTCCTTTATTGACTAAGAAGGGGGATGGTGTTCGCTCTGAGGATGGATTTCGTCAGTCAGACACCTGCCTGTTGAAGTCACAGTCAATATAAGCCTCAGACAAGTTATCACGCTAAGCTCTATCTGCTTTTCTTCTGGCAGGACTTTTAAACGTGGTGATACACTGAGAATGTGACTTTACTGTAGATAACTGCGTTTGTTTGCTTTGTTTATCTGTCTGCTGTTGCCAAAACTCTTAAATTTTGTCCACTGCTGAAAAGGTCATTGTCCTCATAAGGTAAACAGACATTTGCTCTCTGAAATGATGCGCCACAGTGAGTGTCCTCTGAGAACCAGCCTTTTCTGACGTCCATGCTCCATTGTGTTTTCACTGACCATCAAACATTATGAATTGGAAAGTACCATCAGGACTATCGTAGTTCAAGCCAACAAGAGTTCACTTGGCATATTAGTAGCAAAAGGTTTCAGCAACCAAACCTGAGAATTGACCATTTGCAAAATTCTGACCCTGTGGATAACCTCTTAAATGGCCGGGGCCGGTCGCAAAGCTTTATTACACACTTCTGTAAAGAATAGCTCAGCCAGTTTGCATTGAAGTCCCTGTATATGAATAATAAGCGTTAGTGTGTAGTAAGACTGAGATTTTAAAGGGTTACTGTTGCTGTTTTCTTCATACTTTTGGCTCAAGCTACTTGGTAGCATCTGTGCTAAAACATTCAGTATCATATAGGAAAATTCAAAACCACACAGAGGAGAACATTTTAAAACATTTTAAGATTCGAAAATGGTGTGAGAAGATGTTCAGTGCAGACATAGATGTTTGAGAACTGATAAAATATGAATGATTGCTTGTGTGAAAAAAAAATATATTCTGAAAACCATGTTTGCATTAATGGTTTAGCCACTTTAACATAAAGCGGCAGGCTAGCATGTCTGAGGAGGAGCATTTAGCGACTAAGGCTGAGCTAATGCTAAAGCTAATTCTGTTCTGAGGAGTTCTGATGGACAAAGAAACGGTGACTGTGATTGGCTGAGAGCCCAATAATTTAGCAAACGGTCAACTTTCACCAAGAAAAGAACTGTCAGTTGCCCATCATTGTCTAGTGCAGTGAGTTTATGACCTCGTTTGTCACATAATAATGAAAATATTATAATATAGCAGTGTTCAATGCAGAAACATTTGCCTTATGGGTGATTTTAATCACTAAATTACCACTACAACAATTATGCTAGCAGTGCCGCATACTGGGTTTTGTTGATCTGGGTTTAATTCTGCTTGTAACCAAAACATGGACATTAGAAGACAGAAGACAAGTAACCTGTTCTTTACCTTCCATGTTGGTTTTACAGTTAATACTACAATTCAGAGCCGGAGCGGTTTAGCCTGTTAGCTGTCTTTTAGCCTGATTAGCCTTCTGAGTTCTTGTGAGCACCGTAGTTAACCCAACATATTAGTGCCGAAGATTTCATCAACCAAAGCTGAGAATTACGAATCCAGCTCATTACGAGAGGCTAATGTGATCGGAACACTACGGGACGCATGAGGTCGTTTTCTGAAAAGCGCTGCAGCAGCAAAACAGCCTCAGGGAAAACTTAATTAGCCTACTTTCACCAGTGGTTCATTTGTGGAGTACGTGGGTATAATCAGTTTTACAGCCCTGTCCTTTCACGACACTCAGTTACACGCAAGCGTTATTTCATTCTCCCTCCAAACGTCCCCCTCAGCCCTCGCTTCTGTTTCCCGCTGAGCGGTTTATGAGGGCAGGGGTTGCTGATGTGGATGATTAGAGATGAGAGAGAGCGATTAGACGAACGCTGACCTGGAGAAAGATTCTTTAAATTCTTTTAATGATATATTAATTATATACGATATATTAACTGCTTTTATTTTGTTGTTTGATGCCCATCAGCCATACTACATTACGCCGAACCTCCTCCTGGCAAATATCAGATATCTAAACAAATCCTCCGTCCTCCTCGTGAGCTCGGTCGCCCACGTGAGTCATACTTTAAAAGGCCCCTGAAGCGAGGCAGCAGTCAAAGTCAATTTAAGAAGAGGCCTCCTTTCTTAAAGGGGAACTCCAGCAATTTTTCTAAATTTCTGAATAATTCAGTTCTTGAGATGTAAACAGAATCGTTCAGAGCGGTTCAGAGTGGTTTGATGTGAAACGCTCTGTTCTAGAGAAACTTGCCAAGTCAGGACTGTTCACAGTGGTGGTGATAGGAACCAGACGTCCACCTCTAAAAGCTCCCTCACAGAAAGTTCCTACATGGAATGGTTATGAATTCACTGCCTGATGACTGAGACACTGTTTTATGATAGTTTAGAGAACTTAAACTCCATTCATGGAGGAGGGATACATGCAGGGCAGTGTGAGGCAAAATAGTCCCAAAGAAAACTTATTATTTCAGATTTTCCACTATTTTCCATCATCAACATTCCATATAGACTCAGAAGACTCGTGTAGGTTCACTGGTGGTTCTGGATAGTAAATAAAATGTCTATATTTGTGTTGTAGTCATGGCGACCCCTGGTTCCTATCACCACCACTGTAAAGACATCTGAACCATTTCACACCAAACCACTCTGAATCACTCAGCAATGTTTCTGAATCGCACACACTCGATTATTCAGAAATTTTGAAACATTGGTGGAATTCCCCTTTAAATGATGCATTAGAGTGAAGCTTTCGTGCCTTCTTATTGGAAATTTATGACCAAATGTTTCCCGGATCTCTCGAGGTCTGTATTTTGGTTATGATGGATGGGCTGTTGTGTGAAATCTGTGATCAGAGATGCTCCAGGCATAAAGTTTCCCCTTCAAATAATAACACAGAACATATAATCATATCAGATGCTAAGAGAGAACATTAGACTTATTTGCTATTTCAAGAATTCCCTGGAACACGAGGAGACAGACGGTGGAATAAGTGCCTTGAAATGCCATCTCAGTGTCTGGTACTTTACTTTCTTGCTTTATTTGAAGGCTGCCCACTTGGGAACTTCATAGCACATGCATAAGCATTAAATAAACATGTGCATAAACACTGAATAATACATTTATAAAGCAATGCATCGACGCTTATCCCAGCAATTACAAGATGGCACAAATGTTTTAGGAAGTATTTGACACTGTATTGACCCAAGGGGCATTAAACTGAAGTGACAGACATTTGTTCCATTTATAACACTGTTATAAAGCACCATTCCCAAACAAACATCTGTGCTTGAGCAAAAGTAGAAATAATCTTGGTAAGTTATGTCAGTAGAATGAGGAGACGTTCCCTGTCTGTGTTTCTTCAGTATCGAAAATAAAGGATATTTAAGTTGTTATAGACATTATGTTATATTATTCTTTAGAAGCAGTTACATTTGCTTTATCAATAAATTAGTCATTTAATTAATCAATCAATCAATCCATCAACCTTTATTTAAACTTGTAGTACAATGAGGTTGACCTTCATTTACAGTGTAGCCAAGCAAATTCAGAAATCAGAGATTGAAAGAATTAGGAAAAAAGTCAAAAAAAGAAAAAATTCATTTCAAATTTCAAATTCTAAATAAATAAATAAAAGTAAAATTTGATTGAAAAGAAACCATTATAATTGCAAAAAGAAAATAATTTAAAAAATGACAGTTCAAACAATTATAAAATAATACAAATATATTGTTAATATAACAACAAAAATAGTAAAAAATGTAAAACAATAACTAAAACATATCAAAAAACAAATTAAAGTAACTTAAATCAGGTAAAAGAGTGTCCGGCTGTTATAAACAGAAAACAGTGTTAGAAACAGATCATCATTTTAGCTTAAGGCCCTTTATGTCAATACAGTATCGTTTACACCATAATGTGTCATGTTCACCTTTCGATTGCTGGAATAAGTTGTTCATAAATATTCATGCATTGCTTAATAAATATCTTGTTCATTGCTTATGCAGGTGTTATGGAGGCCCTATGGAGGTAGCTTTCAAATATGGTGTTTCACTGGTACATAACATTGACATAACCATGTCATAAACATGTCCTAGCAGATGTCCTGGGCTGTCATAAGTTATTACTAGTAATGCCTGTTGTCAGCTTATATGACATGCTGATTTTCTCAGTAACGCTTTACTGTAGGTCAGTGTTCAAAAGGCTGCATAAGCTTTTCATGACAGCTGATATAAACATACATAAACGTGCAGAGAGCCTTATTCCTGAAGACTGATTTTCAATGTAATTTCATTTCAGTAAGTGTTAAGACAGTTGATGCATATCGAATAAGCCTTTATAACTGTGTTTATCTGTTTATGTCAGTGTTATGAAAGGCTTACGCAGCCTTTCCGTACTCTAGTTAGCCATCATGACATCACACTTTATCACATCTGTCATGTTCATTATCTATAATGGTAATATGACACTTTTGCACAACTTTACATTATCTGCTATGACATGTTTATGTCAAGGTTATGTACCAGAGATCAAATGTTACATGGACACTTCACGTCATCACGTGTACGTATCTGTGTTCGGTCAGACTCACTCACCATAAAGCAGGTATTCCAGTCTCACTCCCCACTCTATGCACAGTTTTTGTGCTTTCCCTCAGCTAACACACCTAAATTAACTCGTTAGTTAATTAGCACCTTCCTCATGTGCTGTTAAACTGAACTGGGGGGCACATGCTGACTTTGGGAACCACTGAATGTGTAATTATACACACTCAACCAAAACATACAGACGGGTGACAAATGAGAGGCAAAGTCTGAATGAATGTTTCCACACAGGTGAACTGCATGATCCAATTAGGCAATTAACACCCTACCAGCTCTGTGGCAGGTAGAGGTCCAGCTGATCTCACCTCTGGGTCAAGATGATGAAGAGGAAAGATCCCAGTGGCTTTGAAAGAAGGTCGAGGCACGGATGGCAGGAGCTTCAGTCACAGAGACTCAGCTTGGCCTCCAGTGTTTCAACAGGGATGGTCATTAAAGTGACCTCTGCTGTTAGGTCTGTGGGAAGGACATCAGTAAACAGGGCTGGACATTGTGGTGGAGACAGTGCAGTGCAGAAAGATGACAGACCATGCTGAGAGGTCAGTGGAGTTGAATCCATGAGCACTGGTCTGCACAGATGAGAAGAAAAGTGACCTGGTCAGATCATCTTGTACCTGTACATTGAGGGTGGTTTGGGTCCACTTGTCCCGTTAGAAGGACCTGCAAATCAACACTAAGTTATTCTGGATGATCAGCTTTATCCTGTGATGGAACATCTCTGTCCTGATGGCTCCCCCCACAGGACAGGAGGGGTCACTGAATGGTTTGATGAGTGTGAAACTGATGTAAATCATATGTTACATAGTTCACAGTAACCAGATCTCAACCCAGTTGAACACCTACAGAAGATCCTGGAGGGACGTGTTAGCCCGCATTCTCCACCACCATCGGCACAACACCAACTGAGGGAACATCTTTAGGAAGAACGGTGTTCCATTCTTCCAGAACAGTTCCAGAGACTTGTAGAACCTATGACAATGAAGCTGTTCTGGTGGCCCAACATCTTACTACGACACCTTTATGGTGTTTTTCCATTCATTTGTCACTTGTTTGTATATACACACACATATGTACACATAACACAAGCTTTTGTATATATTCTTATCTTATACATCTCAAACCTCACTCATTTGCCTCATACTGTATATTTCACCACTGCTGAGGTGCAGAATCTACAACCCGCCTCCACTCGAGGATCTTAAAGGGGTTTAGACGTTTGTTCATTTGTGAAGGGCTAAAACTAAACATTCAGACTTTATGTCCTCGTTTTCTGTTTGCCGAACTCCACATCCTGCTGCCTTATAGTCCTTAATTACTGTACAGTAGTCTGTGTCAGGCTTCT